TTAGTCCCTCGTCTGCGGCTCTTTAGTCCCTCGTCTGCGGCTCTCTAGTCCCTCGTCTGCAGCTCTTTAGTCCCTCATGTGCAGCTCTATGAAGCTTTGACCAAAACTTACAATAAATTTAATTGTTCTGGTTTTTATACCCACAACAAAAAAGGCTAGTTTTTGTAAATGTTCTGCAAATATTTGAGCGACAATATGTTGTGCTTTAACTTAATTTATCCTCACATAAAAGGCCACACAGGCCTAGGTCAGTGTTTTCATTTTCATCTAAAGGTAGAAACTAGAAGTTTTTACGTCTTTACATCATGTTTTTTTTGTCCAAAACTGTAAACACATTAATAAATGTTGAAATTAATTATTATTAAAATGTCACCCCCACTGATTAGAAAAGCCCCCTCCAACTAACTCAAAGTGGCCCATGGGCCACCAGTTGATCATCACAGCATAGGTTTCATGGCTCTGGGCTCTTTTTTTATTTAATGAGTGAAGGGGCAGAAATTGCGCTTTGCTCAAAAAGGTTGCAGACCCGGTCCGGGCCCTAACAGGAGAAATCCTATGAAATGAAGTGAGCATTAAATATTTACAACAGCAACTTGTTTAAGTCAAACAAAAGAGGAAGTTTAAAAATGCCTGAAAATATTCTAAACTAGCTTCTCGCTTTCAGTCACCACTCGTTGTGTGATCTACACAAAGCAGGAAGTTGGTACTCTTTCTGAGAAAATGTTTCCATTCAAAAAAACACATTTCAGCTGCGGACAGCTTCTTCTCACTACACTGGAAATAACTGAATTTCTCAAGACTGGCTTGTCTAACACTCATCTAGCTGTGATCCAATCAAACCTATAAAAGAGTGAAATTAGAAAAATTATAAGTAAATTAACAAACGGCAAGTCACCAGGAACAGATGGGTTTGCAGAATATTATAAAACATTATAAAACATTATAAAACATTTGTTGATGATCTTTCACCTGTATTGTGCAAACTTTAAAATTATGTACTAGATACAGGAAATCCTCCTGACACTTGGTCGGAAGCTTTTATTACAATACTACATAAAGATGGAAAGGACATGATACAATGTTCTAGTTATCATCCAATACACCTTCTGTGCACTGACTATATCAACCTCAATTTTAGCAACTAGAGTACAGAAATATATATTAAAAAAACTTTATTTAAGCCGACAGGATTTATTTCAGGCCTCCAAGGTATAAATAATGTGAGAGCTTTAAATTTAGTTAATAATGGCAAAAGATAAAGAACCAGCTAGTTTAGATGCTGAAAAAGTGTTTGACAGTCAATTGGATGTTCTTAGAACATATCCTCATTGAAATGGGCTTTACCAAGAGATTTGTTAAATGGTTCAATATTTTTATATAAAAACCCACGGTCTACAGTAAGAGTTAATGGGCACTGCTCATTTTTTTTTTTTATGGGAAGAGGAGTGAGACAGGGAGATTCACTGTCACCTGTCCTCTTTGCTCTAAGCATTGAACAATTGGTGGAGGCTATACGGCCCATTTCTAAGATCATCAACTTCTGCAAGTATCAGGTAAAAGCAAACTTGGGTTGAAGTACTTGTATGTAAACCCACAGTCCAGTTCTCTCAAGAGCAGCACTCTTCCAAAGCCCAGTCATTGCCATAGGATTTTAAATTGCATGTTTTCCCCAGAAGGAGCGCTGGGGCTGTAGAACACGTCTGTGGAGCAGATGGATCAGAGCCATTCAACTGCTGGGATAAAGCTAAACTTGTTGGCGACATGACTGCATCTCTCCATAGTGCTGTTAAACCATGGCATGTGTTGCACAACCAAACTATTATAAGCCGTCTCCCTGCTTCCTGTTACTCCTCCTCCCAATGAGTGTGCTGAATTCATCATTGTCAGCAGACCCATTTGAAACTGTTGCAACAAAGATGCTTACGAACAACGCCAGTGTGGAAACAAAGATGTTAAAGAAAAAAGAAAAATCAGGAACTCTCATGTAGATTGGATTGTCATCATAGTAGAAAACATAATGTAAATAAATCTAAACTAGAGAAATTGAATTTCCTGCGAAAATGCATTGTGAATGCTTATTGTTGAACCTGCTGAAAAACAGCTAAAATGAGCTAAAAACATACTGAAATGTAGCTGAAATGGAAGAACAAGCCTAAGTTAACAGAAGACAGAAAGAACACATATTTGCTGAATTTGGTTTAAATAAGCAGAAATGAGCACATAAATTGGCTAAAAACATTGAAATTAGCAGTAAATTGCTGAAAAGTAGCTGAAACATCAGAGAGAAGCTTAAATTACCAAATGGAAGCGGAGAGAGCACAATTGTGACCAATTAAGACTGAAAGAAGCAGAAATTAGGAGAAAATTTGGAAATTATCTGAATAAAGCAGAAATTCACACACACGCACACACACACAGCTGAATAGTATCTAAAAATGCAGAAATAAACTTAAATTACCAGAAGGAAGAGGAGAGGAGAGAGCACATCTGTGCCTAATTACCAGTAGGTTTAAAGAAGCGGAATGAGCTCAAAAGTGAAAATTATCTGGGAAAAAAAGATGAAACAAGCCACAAAAAAAAAGACAGCTGAGTAGTAGCTAAATAGCAGAAAGAAGCTTAAATTACCAGAAGCAAGTGAAGAGAGCATGACTTTGCTCAATTAGGCTGAAAAGTTTAAATGTGTTCAAAAAATATGAAATTAGCTAAAAAAGCTAACATTTGCATAAAATCAGCTTCAGTAGCAAACTTGCAGAAATAAGCTGAAAGGAGCATAACAAGCAGAAATTAGCAGAAATATGTTAGAAGAAGCACAAAAATGTTATAGTTAGCAATATACAGCTGAAAGGCACAGAAAACAGCTGAAATTAAGATTTTTTTTTAAATTTGCACAAGGAAGCTGAAAGAAGTGTGATCAGAACAAAATGTGAAAGGAGCATTAAGTGAATGCATTCACACAATAATATGTCTGCCAAGGTCTGCAGAGAAAAGAAACTAACTCCACTGAGAATCACTAAAACATTTAAAACTACAAAGGCTATTTTGATTTTCATCCTAAACTTTGAACAGTTTTCTTATAACTAGGCCTGTCACGATAACAAATCTTGCTGTGCGATTGTCTCAGAAATTATTGCAATAAACGATAATATTGTTTGAAATTTGACAATAATTAGTAATTATTGTCAATTTAAGAAGAAATGTTGGTTAATTTGTTTTGTGTGTAGTACCTTTTTTTGACCACTGGATGGCGGTATAAGACTGTTTGAACTGAAGGATGGATAGTGAGGGCGCAAGCAGCGTGTCTCCAGAAAAATGGGAGGGAGGCCCCTTGACGTGACATGGGCTGTCTCTCCTTCCGTTTTTTTAGATTCTCAAAGTGGCAGACGCTCGTTGTGGTTTGAGCTCTTTAGCACAGCATTTTTCATACGAAGCTTTTAATTAAAAAAAAAAATCAGTAAACAAGTTCTCAGCTTCTTTTTAAAGAGAAAAACAACTTTTACAGGAAGGCACGGGTTTCAATCATGAATTTTGGAGCTTCGACAAGACGGAGGGTCGTCAGCCTGTTAGCTTAGCTTCTCAGCTTAGCTTAGCTGCTTTTAACAATCCAAAAACGTGATTTTGGATCGTTAAAACAGATTTTAAAGAGAAAGGGAGGGGTCAGTGAAGAGCACTGGAGTTGAGCCTTTTGTCATCCGGTGTCTTCAGAAAGAGACGCAAAGAAACGATAAAGCAAATAAATGAAAATGAGGTAGATAATTTTAATTTATCATGCGATTAAGTGATTTATTGTTTATCGCGACAGGCCTACTTGTAACATTCCTTTTTAAAAATATTTTTAGGAGTATACTGTATATAATAGGTTTATACTCTAGTGTTTTATCAAATGACAAACACAAAAAGCAGAAATATTCAACCATCTAAGGAGTTTCATTTGTTATGCGAGCAGTGTCGCTAAAGCTCCTTTAAGGCTGCAGCCGACGTCAACCAGAAACAACCTTAAGCCAAAGGAAGAGTCACATTCTTCAATATTTATTTTGATGAAATGATTTGACCCAATCTAAATAACCATCCTTGATCAGTTTTGGGGAGGGAAACCTTTTTAAGGCCGTCCACCATGTTCCAACTACAGCTCTTTCCTCCAGACCTTCTTAAGGTTGCAGGGAAGGAGGGACGTTTTTCACGAGGGGGGAAATAAAGACAAGCTTTTAGAGTTAACCTAAAATAGATGAGGTAATAGGAAAACTACACACACAGGTGGCAAATAAAACAATTGAAAGACAACAGTTTGAATACACATCAGCAGACCACCATTTAAACCTGTTCCAGCCAGAAGACCAGTGTGAGGGTCAGTATTGTACGTAAAAGTGTGCTATGAGCCTTTAAAGCACAACGATCAAACATCCTTATGAAATGCCTTATCAAGAGACTACAGGCCTCTTTGAGGTTCCCACTTCATAATGTGAGGAGTTTCACATTCCATGGTAAACATGAAAACAGACGTATCAGGAGCTGGTCTGCCATGCAGCTCCATGAGTTGATACAAGACTTAATGTAAAAGAAAAAAACAATCTGAAAATATTTTAGTTTTTTTCCTGGAAAAAGCTCATAAAAATATCTTACTGTAACAAAGGCAGGCGTTCCTCCCTCTGCAGTAGGGACTAGCCAGCCACAAGTCTAGGTTTAAAACAAACTGGGTTTCGTCTACATTATCTCTCTCCAACATTCCAGGTAAAGCCCAGTCTGTAGTTCGAACACGGCGTCTTAAAATCAAAGTTCAGCTACAGAACAAGACAAGTTACCGAGGAAGACGTTCCGTTCTGTTGCACAGTCTTTTCATTTGTAATGCAAGCAGGGCTGTAATGGAGTTATTCCAACACGGGGGGCCGTAGACCTCAGAACAGTGATGCAACTTAACATGCCAGGCTGAGGGGGTGACTGAAGAAGGCAAATGGAGTTACTGTTCACGTCAGGAAAACATCCAGCCCAGCTGCTCCAGCTGTGAGGGGTCCCTGCTCACTGACCATTTAGCCAGAGGCGCCCGGTTTGGTCTCTGAGCCAGTCCATGTTTATCAGTGTTCATGAACGGCTGCGGTCTTCTTGGGTGCCCACCAGCATTTTACTGTACAGCTTCTGCTGCTCTTCTTTAAAGGTATCTTTTACCTTTTCTCGCTTCAGTCCTCCATCCCTTAAAACAAAAAAGAAGGTTTTTAGGTGCATTTCATAGCCTCCGTCAGCATGCACTTAATGCTGTTACTACACCGCATTGTCTTACAGTATTAGTGTTTAGTGTATATCTTAGACCTTTTAGCGCACCATTTAGCATTCATTTAGCGTTTATCTTAGATCCTTATATACCGTTTCATTTTATACTTTTTATTTTGGCTATTTTTGGGTGAAACTAGGACATTGAGTACACAATTTCGTTCCACCTCATGCACATGTGATTCAAATGATAAAGAATCTTGAACTTGAACTTAGTCTGAAGGAAGGGAAGACAACTATCAGTAAAGAAGGAAACAGTGATATGTTTTTCTGGTACCACTTTACAATAAGGCTCCCCTTATAGATGGCTAATAAATAGTTTATAGAAGCATTAATTCCTCTATACGCACTTTATAAATCATTAATAAGTGCTTATTATGCATTAATTAAGGGTGACAGAGACAAAACGGACCAGTTTCTTGCCAAATAGTGAATCAAATCTGCCACCTATATATTTCATGTAGAGTTGTTTTATTAAACATTTCAAACTAAGTTACTACCTTGTAAG